AGACTGTAGCTGTTTGACCCAATTGATGGTGGTTTCACCTTGTGAACATTGGTGAGATGAGGTTTTTCCCTTGCCAGATTATGCTAAAATGTTATTGCTAGTTGAAATAAATTCGATGAACATTGTTGCACAGAGAGAGAGAGAGAGAGAGAGTTGAGGAGAGAGAAGCAGTAAGATGAGGTTATCAACCATGGTCAGGTTATGTTTAACTGTTAACATAGATATTGCATATATATACTGTAATTGAGAATTTATGTCTACATATTGCATATCTGAAGTGTACAATATTTTAAAAAGGGGACACCTAACTTGATTATCATTGTCCCACTTCTACCAGCCAATTTATGTCCTTTTACAATGAGGTAGTTACATGATACATAAACATGGGACTAATATCAGTAAAGATCTACATCTAGCTCGTCCTAGTAGATGCTGCAACAATGCACTCGCTGATGATGCTAACATCTCCCTTTGAAATTAGTAAAGATCTACATCTCATCCTAGCGGACGCTGCAACAATGCACTTACAGATGATGTGAACATCTCCCTTTGAGATTTTCACTTTACAGATTGGGTAGACTGCAACCATGACAAGAACATGGCTTTTAACAAAGAAGTGTCTTCCATGCTCGTAAAACTTGACCTATAAGCATGAGGTATCACAGAAGGATGAAAGTTGGCTCCTAGGCCATACTTCAAGAACCATAACCATGTTAAACTGTGAGTAAGACTAGACCTTTAAGGTTCTCCACATACCAAAAATTGGTCTAGATAATTTTCCTCTCATTGTAATATTCAATTATTCATTAGTATCCCCAGAAAGTAAAATTCGTGTCTTAAGAAGTATTCTTAAAAACATGAAGCACTTCTTCCACTGCATAACATCAGCCTGTGAAGATTCAGAAGACTTGCGTTCTCATTCAATGAATTCCAGGTGACTGATGTCCAATCCAAAAGATGCTCCCAATTTCCCAACTGATTGTCACCTCAAGAATATTCAAGATAAATCTAACCCATAGGCTCATTGATGCACACTTGTCTCAGGTAAGGAAGGGGTCAGTTATAATCAGACTGGCAGACCAACTCTTCCAAAGCTTAACAAGCTCAGAAAAAGTGTGAAGAAGAGATGCCATTTTCTGAAAGTTCTCTTGCTGTCACCAATACTCTGCTTATAGGTGAAGTTATGACTCTCCTTATCCATTCCTTTAAAAGGGATTTGAGACTAAGATATACCAAGTAACATCATTAGGTAGAAAGTCGTTCTCAACTCCTTTATGCAGAATGAAACAAGCATCATTAAACAGGCCCCCTCTTGCATTGCCAACTGATTGAAGTATTATAAATAACAACATTAGGATAAATTCCTTCAGCTTGTAATTTATCAAAGAGATTTAAGCTTCCCAAATGCAATCCATCTTGCACAAACCATTTATGAGCCTGTCATGGGTGACTATATCAGGTGTCAAACCTCAATGAATCATATCCCTTTGAAACTCAAAGGCAGTATTTACTTTCCCAGTTCTACAGAGACCATTAATCAAAATATTGCATGAGATATTGCTCCCTTCCTCATCATTTCTTCAAACAAAGCCAACCCTTTATCAACAGCCCCCGCTTTGCATAGTGCCTTTATTTGGCCATTGTGAGTGATTTCATCAAGAGGGCATCCTCTAAACAACATATCATTTACAAGCATAAGTGCTTCTAGGATTGCACCTCTTCTCAGAAAAGCATGGATTAATGTGTTGGCAATTACACCCTCCAATAACATGTTCTGATACAGTCTCAAAGCAGCTTCTATCTTATCATCCTTGCATAGACCAGATATTAGAGAATTTAAATGTAAAAATGTCAAGTGTACATCTTCTGCTTGGCATTTAACCAAATATTTCAAAGGCCACACAAACCTTTACAGCTTTGCATGTAGCACTTATAAAGCAATTGTATCCCACTGTATTCAAATTAAGCCTCTTAGCTGACATCTAATTCATGATATCATTAGATTTCTCTAGTTGGCCTTCTTTGAAGAAACCGTCAATTAAATATCCTTGGCTTCATCAAAACATCCAATTGTCACAAACCCATTAATTGTTACACTCTTTTCAAAGAAGAATGATACAAGACTGCAACTTCTCAAGAACGAGCTACTATCGATGGTGCAACGTGACATGATGATTGCCCAGTACTTTCACAAGGTGGAGCGGATATGCCACGAAATTTCAGAATTAGATCCAACAGCTTCTATTGGGGAAACCAGGATAAAGAGAATAATTATCCATGGTTTGAGACCCGAATATCGAGGGTTCATTACCGCTGTACAAGGATGGCCGACACAACCATCTCTTGTTTAGTTTGAGAATTTGCTGGCTGATCAAGAAGTTATGGCTAAGCAAATGGGAGGAGTCTTGCTAAAGGGTGAGGAAGAAACGCTATACACCAGCAAAAACAGAAGCATTTTCAAGCAGTACAATGGTAGTGGATCTAAAAAGGATGGTGAAAAAGGGAAAAATCCTCAAGGAAAGGGAGGCTCTCGTCTAAGGGGAGCTTTGAAGAATCGCAGTAATAGCAGAAAATTCGATGGTAAGTGTTACAATTGCGGGAAGATGGGTCACATGGTGAAAGATTGTTGGACCAAGAAAAAGCATGTTGAAAATAATACTGCTACTTCCAGTCCTAAGGAGAATAACGAAAAAGATTGGGATACCGAAGCGTTATTCGCTATGGAGAAAGAAGAATTAGCCCTTACGACAACAATACCAAGAAGGATTGACTACGAGAATGATTGGATCGTAGACTCGGGCTACTCAAATCATATGACAGGTGATAGACAGAAGTTGCAAAATCTGTCTGACTACAAGGGAAATTGTGTGGTGGTAACAATCGACAACTCAAGGTTACCGATAACACACATCGGTAAAACAATAGTTACACCTCAGTATAATCCTAACCAGGTACAACTTCAAGATGTCTACCATGTTCTAGGAATGAAGAAAAATTTGCTATCTGTGGTTCAATTGACATCATTAGGCCACTATGTCCTATTTGGGCCGCAAGATGTGAAGGTGTTTCGAGACCTCAAGATCTCAGAAAAGCCAACGATGGAGGGACGACGATTGGAGTCAGTTTATGTGATGTCAGCAAAGTCTGCACACATAGACAAGACAAGAAGGAACGAGACAGTAGACCTGTGGCACATGCGGTTGGGACACATTAGCTATTCTAAGCTAAGCATGATGATGAAGAAGTCAATGCTGAAGGGGCTTCCTCAACTTGACGTGCGAACAGACACGGTCTGTGCAGGATGCTAATATGGTAAAGCACACCAATTGCCATACGAGGAATCGAAGTTTAAAGCAAAAGAACCATTGGAATTAGTTCATTCTGATGTATTTGGGCCCGTTAAGCAACCATCAATTGGCGGTATGCGGTACATGGTGACATTCGTTGATGACTTTTCAAGGTATGTATGGGTTTTCTTTATGAAAGAAAAATCTGACACATTCTCAAAGTTTAAAGAGTCCAGAGAGTCAACTGAAGGAAAAGTGGGAAAGAAGACCTGTTGCTTGCACACAGACAACTGGGGAGAATATAGCTCAAGCGAGTTCTCTCAATACCTAAGGGAATGCCGAATACGTCATCAGTACACTTATTCCAACACGCCACAACAGAATGGTGTAGTGGAGAGAAAGAACTGACATCTTGTAGAAATTTGTCAGAGTATGCTACATGAAAAGAATGTACCTAGAAAGTTTTGGGCTGAAACAATGAGGACTGCAGCCTTTGTGATCAACAGACTTCCTCAACCGAGGTTAGGATTTGTTTCACCCTTTGAGAAACTGTGGAACATGAAACCTATAGTTAGCTACTTTCGAGTATTTGGCTGTGTATGTTATGTATTTGTTCCTGATCATTTATAGAGCAAGTTTGACAAGAAAGCTGTTAGATGTATCTTTGTGGGATACGACAACCAGAGAAAGGGGTGGAAGTATTGCGATCCAATGAGTGGAAGATGCTATACTTCACGAGATGTGGTGTTCGATGAAGCATCTTCTTGATGGTCCTCAGAGAAGGAAGTGTTGCCAGACACAAGAGAATTTGAAGACAAGCTACAACAAAATATAGGGGAGCATACTATTCAACTTCAACCAAGTTCAAATGAATTAGAAGATCCAAATGGCAACGATGTCAAACAAAGAGTGACTCATAATCCTTAGCAAACCGACGTATTTCAACAACTAAACGAAGAAGGTAGGCCTAGTGAAACGGAAGAATCAACTCCACAATCTCAACTCTGAAGGTCAATAAGAACAGGAAGGCCAAATCCTAAATACGCCAATGCAGCCATAGTTTAAGAAGCAACTATAATAGAACCTGAGACATTCGAAGAAGCATCACAAAGTTCTAAGTGGGCGACAGCTATGAAAGAAGAGATCGATGCACTTCAGCAAAATCAAACTTGGGATCTGGTGCCAAAGCCAAGAGATGTGAAACCCATATCCTGTAAGTGGGTTTATAAGATAAAACGTTCTCCAGATGGGTCAATTGAGAGGTACAAGGCACGATTGGTAGCTCATGGTTTCTCTCAACAATACGGACTAGACTACAATGAAACGTTTAGTCTAGTGGTGAAACTTACAATTGTACGAGTCCTACTTGCACTTACAGCCAACAAAGACTAGAATTTGTGGCAGATGGATGTGAAGAATGCTTTTCTTCATGGAGAGCTAGATCGGGAGATCTACATGATCCAACCAATGGGTTTTCAGAACCAAGATCATCCTGAATTTGTGTGTAAGCTGCGGAAAGCACTTTATGGGTTGAAACAAGCACCCAGGGTGTGGTATGGTAAGATTTCTGAATTTCTAACACAAAGTGGTTATTCAGTAACACCTGCAGATTCCAGCTTGTTTGTCAAAGCCAATGAAGGAAAGCTAGCTATTGTGCTAGTGTACGTAGATGATTTAATCATAACCAGTGATGATAAGGCATAAATTCTTCGGATGAAGGAGAATTTATCAATTCGTTTCCAGATGAAGGAACTTGGACAACTCAAGCACTTCCTTGGTCTAGAGGTAGATTGCACACAAGAAGGAATTTTTATTTGTCAGCAGAAATATTCCAAAGATTTGTTGAAGAGGTTCGGAATGCTTGAATGCAAGCCGATTTCGACGCCAATGGAACAAAATACCAAAATGTGTGCACATGAAGGAAAAGATTTGGAAGATGCGACAATGTATCGAAAATTGGTAGGCAGTCTAATCTACTTAACCTTGACTCGACCTGACATTTCTTATGCAGTTAATGCGATGAGCTGGTACATGCAAAATCCAAAGAAGCCTCATCTGGAAGCAGTTCGACGAATACTGAGATATGTGAAGAGTACAATTGACTATGATCTTTTGTATAAGAAAGGTGAAGACTGCAAGTTAGTTGGTTACTGCGATGCTGACTATGCAGGAGATCATGACACTAGGAGATCAACAACTAGGTATGTGTTTAAGCTTGGTTCTGGAACAATTTCTTGGTGTAGCAAGAGATAGCCGATAGTATCATTATCAACTACTGAAGCTGAATATCGAGCAGCGGCAATGGTAGCTCAAGAGAGTACATGGTTGATATAGCTAATGAATAATCTACATCAACAAATAGATTATGCAGTTCCGTTATACTGTGACAATCAGTAAGCAATTCATTTGGCAGAGAATCCAATCTTTCATGCAAGAACTAAGCATGTTGAAGTGCACTATTATTTTATCAGAGAAAAGGTTCTGCAAGAAGAAATTGAGATGAGGCAAATCGAGATAGATGATCAAGTTGCGGACTTGTTCACAAAAGGCTTGAGCATTGGCAGGTTTGAAATGTTTCGTTGTCAACTTGGCACAGTGAAAATAGCGAGAGTTGGTGTTGAGGGGGAGTGTTGAAGATCAACCCCAGCCCATTACAGAACCCAACTAATATTTTGATTTTAGCCCAAGGAAAATAAAAGCCCAATCCATTTTATCTTAGTCCAAAACAATAGAAGCTTATCAACAAGGTCAACATCCTCTTTGGTGACATGCATACTCCAAATCCAACGTGAATATTAAAGAGTAGTAAACAAATAATGGATTTCACGGGATGTCGTGAATACTCAGGACTCCATATCACCCCACCTTATACAGAGTTCAAACAGCAAGACTTAAGAAAACTAGCCCAATTAGACACTAATATTGCCAAATTGGAAATTTTAGGGTCTGTATGTTTTGTTATTTTGGATAAGATTTTGGAATAATATTAGGCAGTTGAATGGAGAAGTATTACGAGATAAAATTTAAAAATTAACAAAAAAACCCCATAGGTTTGCTAATTTAACTAAACACCCCAATATATAAAATTTTTGTAAAATGACAAAAACTCCCCCACCCACCCACAGTGCCAGATTCCGGCCACCACCATCAATATCTGGCCAAAAAATGGCGTTACGATGCAGACTGGTCGTATCTGGCGGGTAGGGCATCGATATGGCCTTTTCCGGCCAGATCCACCATGGATTTGGCCGAAAAACGCTAAATCTACGACTAGATATGGCTGTTGACGGCCGCAAAAGTCCAAATCTGGTTGTTAATGACGGCCAAAGAAATGGTCGTCGTTGACGATCAACGACGACCATTTCTTTGGCCATCGTTAACAGCCAGATTTGGACGACGACCATTTCTTTGGCCGTTGCTAACAGCCAGATCCACTGTGGATCTAGCCAAAAAAGGCCAGATTGGTAAATTACCTGCCAGTTCCAGTTGTTTGTAGGCCATTGTAACAGATTCCGGCTATCACCGACGTGGTTGTCAGAATTTGGCAAGTATGGGTGGGTCGGTGGGGGTGTTTTTGTTAATTTTTAAACTTTTTTGGGGGTATTTATGAAATTAATAAACTTAAGGGGTCTAAAGTAATTAAAATAATATACTAATATTTCCTAAATAATTAAACAAACAAATATTTTGGGAAAAAGATTGGAAATATAGATAGAAATAATAAGCCAAACGGAGCCTTAATATTTATGATCTACTCAAACTAATGTACGTAAATGGTGTACTTAGTTTTAGTATTCATAGTTCTAAGAAAAAAAGAATAGAGAATAGATATTCTCATATATTACACAATTGGTAGACTATTTTAATTAATTTTTTTTTCCAACAATTTATTATTATAATCCATTTATTGCAATTCAAACATTTAAGAATTGATATAATGTAACCGGAATGATGATTCTTGTTATGCCTGAAAAAGTAGGGCTGACGTAAGACCTGGTCAGCGTAAAAAGTCAAAGCTTAGATAGGTCCGCAACCAATCAAAGGCAGCCACGTCACACGATGACAGGGACGACATGCTCCTGTCAGGGCAGTGGGAGCACGTCAGACCAGCCAAGAGCTAGAGTGATTCCACGTGTCTAATCCCTGCACCAAATCTCGTAAATCGCTCTAGAAGGTGGGTAATGAGACATAAAGAAGGATCTGCCCAGATAATCCCACCAACTCATAGATTTAGTAATCATAACCTTAATCCATCCCACTATAAATTGAGAGCTCCTCTCTCATTTGGGGGATTAGCTAATCTCTCTAAAGAAAAACAACATTCTCTCTCTCTTATGTAATCATTTGTAAGTTAATCCGCTGAACGCGACCTAACCATTGTTATTAATACAAAATCAGCGGATGTAGGATTCGCTTTTTTGAGCATTCGAACCACTTTAAACGTTGTTCTCCATTGCTTTCTTTTACTCTCACTCTCATACCCACGCATGTCTACTAGGCCAGCTCAGCATTTCACACGTGCGTTTGGTTGGTGTCAAAATCACGCATCAACAGTTTGGCGCTAGAAGGAGGGCTTGATTTAGTATTCGTCTTTCATCAGGAGAATCTCCAACTAACTGGTCCTACAACAGAAAATGGCTCGCCGACTTAAACCTGAGCGAACCAATCAGGGTGCTGAGGAGATCCCCCAAGTATAGAAGGGCACCTCTCCCGAGGTACCTTCGGTTCCACAAAATGTCGTGGGGGATATCCCTTCAAGTCCACAACTTGACCTTGCCATCAGAAGCTAGCTGGAGAGGTTCGACAATACTCTCCAGACAGTCAACCGAAGGTTAGACCGTTTGGACCAGGGGGTGCCACCCGAATCAAATGAGGCGGTGCAACCGCAAAAAACGCCTACAAGTCGCGTAAAAGCAAGGCAAAGTGTAATAGCTCGTGCCGCGAGCATTGTAGCACGCCGAAGGAAAGGTAAGCAAGTGACGAAAAATGGGCCTAAGGGCTCCAAAGGGTCCCGAGTAGAACACCCATGGCATTAACACTCAGTGAAAAGTCGCAGCCCGAGCCTTCCTATGCCACGTCGCATGAAAACCCCCATAAAAGTGTTGGGAGGGGCGATTCTCATCACCGCCAGATAAGTAATCCTGATCATAGTTGTGGGGGAGGTTCCCACACTCCACGGGGCGGTTCTTACCACCTTGGAGGTCGTGAAACTTCCTCACACCATTCATTGCCATCACATGGCTCTAGCTAGTGTGTGTCAAGAGTGGCCAGAACTGCCGGTCGAGGCGAAGTGGAATCCAACCTCCAGACTTTCCTCAACTGCAACAGCAAGGATCGAACTTGCATGAGGAAAGCAATCCCTAGATAGCTCCGCTGCCCCAGATTGAGGAGCTGCAGCGAGCTCTAGACCAACTAAGAGCTCAGCAAAATGAGTAAGGGCAGGTCGCATTAGCTTCTCCTTTTTCTCCGGCAATGTCAGCCGCCCCACTCCTATCAAGATTTAGAATGCCTGACATGCGGGCGTTCGATGGAAATTCTGATCCACAGGATCACTTGTATGAATTCAACGACCCGATGGAGCTTCACCAGGTTTCAGATTTGCAAAGTACTATTGTTTGGCAGTAACTCTAACCTCTCATACCAAACGATGGTTCAGGTTACTCCCAGCGGGATCGATCAACTCGTGGCCTCAAATGATTGCGATGTTCTTTAGGCATTTCCAAGCAAACCGAAAGTTCTTAATGCCTTTGAGCTACCTCAACAATATAAGGCAAGAGAGGGATGAATCCCTTCAATCGTACATCGATCGATTCCACAGAGAGCTTAATAAGGTAGCTCACACCTCCAAAGAGTCTGTTCGGACTCTCATCATAGCGGGAGTTTGCCCACAGACCGACCTGTGGAAAGAATTACAGGCTGAGGATGATGTTTCCGTCACCCACTTCTATAACCTTACAGAGAAGTACCTCCGTATTGAAAATTTCATGGCGACGCTCCACCACAGCAACCCCGACGCTTCAGGTAGTACGTCTGGTCGGGGGAAAAGTAGGAGAGTTGATCGCAAGTGGGCTATGTTAGGAAACGACCCGGTTGCGCAGCGGAAAACAAAAATTTTACAACCACGGATCGTTCCTTAGAACCCAAAATCAAGGCACAGATTTTACAGTTTATGCATAATAAGAATCTGCAGAAAAATAAATCCAAAGGTTTAGATTCATACCCACGTTTGGAGGCTCCACCAATGTTGTCTCNGTGACTCTTAGGTTTAACCCATAAAAGTCCAAACGAAGTCAAAACCCTGCCCGTTTTGCTTGAATTTGATATTCTGTGTTTCATTTGCTTTCTTAGTTAAGATTTAATTCTTTGTTTAATTTCAGCTTTGTTTCCTTTTTCATTAAAAATTGCTCCCACCAATCCAAAGAATTCGATTTCTTCAACTTGATAACAAGTAGGAAACTTAGTGATTTGCTACAGTCCTCGTGGGAACGATATCCTACCCATCACTTTATTACTTGAGCGACTAGTATACTTGCTATTTTTGCATGTTGTAGTAAACGCGCATCATTAGCCGCCCCACTCCCATCAAGATTTAGAATGCCCGACATGCGGGCGTTCGATGGAAACTCTGATCTGCAGGATCATTTGTATGAGTTCAACGACCTGATGGAGCTTCACTAGGTTTCAAATTTGGCGAAGTGCTGTTGTTTGGCAGTAACTCTAACCTCTCATGCCGAACGATGGTTCAGGTCGCTCCCTGCAGGATCGATTAGTTCATGGTCTCAGATGAGCACGACGTTCCTAAGGCACTTCCAAGCAAACCGAAAGTTCTCAATGCCTTTGAGCTACCTCAGTAATATAAGGCAAGAGAGGGATGAATCCCTCCAATCGTACATCGATCGATTCCACAGAGAACTGAATAAAATAGCTCACACTTCCGAAGAGTCTGTTTAGACTCTCATCATAGCAAGAGTTCGCCCACAAACCGACCTATGGAAAGAGTTACAGGCTGAGGATGATGTTTCCCTCACCCGCTTCTATAACCTTGCGGAGAAGTACCTCCGTATTAAAAATTCCGTGGTGGCACTCCACTGCTGCGACCCCAATGCTTCAGGTAGTATGCCTGGCCGAGGGAAAAATAGGAGAGATGATCGCAGATGGGTTACTGACGATCAGCGAAAAGGAAAGAAACCGCGCTATGAGCCCAAAAAGTCTTATGCTCCAGTTCCTTGTCGTGATCGCGATAGAAATTAGTATACGCCTTTGAATGCGTCTGTATCAGCTATTCGTGACAAGTCAGAAGAAGCCAGCCTGCTCGGAGAGCCTGAGCCCATGAAAAATCCCTTATCAGCCAGAAACAGTAAGAAATACTGTTGCTTTCATCGGGATAATGGGCATCACATTGATGAGTGTTGAGCTCTCAAACAGGCAATCGAAGACCTCATCAAGCAGGGGCATTTTAAGGAATATATTGATGATTCCACTCCCGCGCAAGAGAAAAATCAAGGAGAACCAGGAAAGAAGCAACGTGATCGCAAAGGTATATGCAGCGTCAATTTGATCTTTGGAGGGCCGCACCTCGCAAGGAACTCACGAGGTGTCCAGGAAAGGTATGCTTGCGCAGCCCATCACGACCC